TTGTTGTCGTTGTTGCTGCTGTTGTCGTCTTTGTTGTCGTCGTTCTCGTTGCTGCTGCTGCTGCTGCTGCTGGTGTTGTCGTTGTTGTTGTTGTTGTTGTTGCTGTTGTTGTTGTGGTGGTTGTGGTGGTTGTGGTGGTGGTGGTTGTCGTTGGTGTCGTTGTTCTCGTTGTTGTCGTCGTTGTTGTTGCTGTCGTTGTGGTGGTAGTGGTTGTGGTTGTGGTTGTGGTTGTGGTTGTGGTTGTTGCTGTTGTTGTTGTTGTTGTTGTTGGTGGTGGTGGTGGTGGTGGTGCTGCTGCTGCTGCTGCTGCTGCTGTTGCTGCTGCTGCTGCTGCTGGCGGCGGCCGTGGTGGTGGTGGCGTTGGCGTGATAATGGTGTGTATGTGTGTGGCTGTATTGTTGTTGTTGGTGATGGTAGTCATAGGCCCCTAGCTTTTGCATCTCCAAGCGGCGGCCACGGCGAAACGCCATGCAACGGCAACGTCGATGATAGGTAAGCTTACCCCCGCTGAGGTGCTTAACCTCATCGTCGCTGTAGTGGCAACTTGGATTCACATTCTAGAAGAGTCTAGAAGAGCAACCGTGGTGGTAATGCTGATCCTAGAAACAGCTTTCGTCTTCTTTTGGAACCTTGCTTGTGGCGGGAGCCGATGTGCTTCAGCACGTCTCAAATGCTCGTGGCTAAAAAGGTTCGAAGCAGACATAGGGCTTATGGTTAGGGCTTGCGGATTAGGGTCTAATGGGGTTTGGGTTCTAGGTGATGCAGGATCGCCTGAAATCATGCAGTGCTGCTCCCCAGCTGATCAGCAGAGTTTGGGTTCAAAAACATTCCTGGATTCCTGTGCCGCTCGACAACCCTTTGATGCAAAGCACGTAAGCGCATACAGTCATATGGGTGTTTCAGGCATAGAGCTGCCGTACACAGAAAGTCTGCAGCGGCAGTACCGAGATCCGCTTGCCTGGAATCTTTGCCTGGCATTGCCGATGCGGAGCGTGAGAGTCGAAAAGGCTCCCAAATCCCCACACCCAGGTAGACACCTTTGCTGAAGCACGCGAGAAGGATGTCCTAAACCTGGCCGAGGACGGTATAGTAAGTCTAAGTGTCCAAGTTTGGCTGTACTCAGTGACGAGGGTCCGCCATTTCTGTGGGTAGTACTGGACTCTGCCGCATTCCTCCTCAGCCCCTGCAGGAGATGGAAACCGACATCGAAATGGACAAGAAGTTCCTACAGAATCTGGGTGTCAGCCTTTAGTTGTTCTTGTTGTGTACAGAAGCCAGAAAGTTGGAGCATCATTACCCTCATGCCCGTAAAGTAAAGTATAGGGAACCCCAGCATTTCTCATGTTACATCGGTGTTCCGACTTGTTTTGGGGTTCACCATAAGACCGCCCACCCGCCACAAAAGAAGAGAAATCGGAGGGGGCCTCTTACTGTAGAATGGAAGCACAACTACTCGTTCGATTGCAGTAAGCCGTGGAAAACCGGAAGCATGAGCAGACAAAGCTTAACAAAAGAGTGCTACTTGTGGGTTCATGGTTAGTTACAAGGAGGGGTTATAAGTAGGATAACTATAGCTACAACCCATGCTTGAGGAATTCTATCACCACTTACAACTACCCATGATCCTCCAAGTAAGTCGTAAACCCCACACCACTTCCATGGGAGCCTTTCTAGGATTTTATAGGAAACCTTACAGGGAGCCGTGTCGGTGCCCTGAAAGCCCGAAGCCCTGAACCACTAGAGGAAACCGACCTTCCCAAGTAAGACGAAGTCTTGTAGTTCCACAGCATCTCAAATTCGGATCGGGGGCGGGGCGCCCCCTTGCAAGAAGCTCCCACCTGACAAACGAGCTTATACTACAAAACGGTACATTATTTTAACGGATAGCTAATTCCATCTAGAGCATATGTTGTAATATATCTTATTCAGTATATAGTATCTATTATAAGCTGACTACGACCTACGACCCACTTGAATCCATCACCTGGTAACGCTACAGCTATTTTCCGAGCCTACCTATTTCGCGGATTAATCGGCGCCCAGGAAGATCTTCGATCGCGTGGATGAAGACGGAAGTGCCTTGCCTTGTTCTCTTTTCGGGGTGGGTGGGCAAGAAAGCACCGAAATACAAGCTATTGAAAGCTACCCTCATGTAGGGATACTAACTTTTCCATTAATTTCCATACTACGAAATGGATGTTGATTTGTTTGTTTGGCTTCCTCTTGCATGACAAGCAATGTATAAGATACGCAGTACCTGACCTTGCCCGCCAACCCCGTCCAGGCCTTACGAGTCTTAACCTCAAAACCTGAATCCAACCTGTACCTTCATTAACCCCTGAGAACAAAACCATGAAATCCGAAGTTCTACTGTGCTTCTACATCTAGCCCCATCTTTGTGACATCATCACTCATACATTTTGCTTTGATCTGTTTGCATGTTTGCTGTCGGCTTGAGCAACATGTCTTCCAGCCCTTCGTGTATCACCCCGCCTCCCCTTACCAACAACAGCAACATCGCAAATAGTCGTTCGACATTACAGTAGACGTGAGAAAGCTATCGCGAGATCCGGGGCAACAATCAGGTGAATAATCGTCGCAGGCAGACTAAGTATGAGAGTATGAGGTTCTTAGAGCGTGTAGCACCAAAAATTGCCGTCCAATGCCCTTTCTCTATGTATGGGCTGTGGCTTTTCACTCATACCGGTTAAATGTATGTGATGAGTGAGCCGATATCCTGAGAGCTCCAAGGTTGTTGACGATGTATCAGTGAAATCTCAGGTGACGCTCGAAAGTATCGCATCTACCAGAGGTCCGCATCGCGCATGTCTTGCCTGGAGAGTCCGAGAAACCCCAAAGATTTCAATCCAGTTCAAAGTTTATAGCGACTCTCCCGAACCTCCAAACGCAACACAAACGTACTCTATCCCAAAACCCCAAGCCCCTAGAACGGGGCGACTAAGACACAGAGACGCAAACCTAGGAACATCCTAATGTCGCCAATATATTAGGGCTCATAATAAGAACCCTAGTAAAGGCCCAGGGTTTCTTAATCAGGGTCCGACATTAGAACCTCGATGACTTTAGGGGTTCCTTTATTAAGGGGTTCCTTTAATAAGCGCACCTTTAGGGGTTCTTTTAAAAAGGGCACGATGGTCAGGTGGGGAGCTGACACTCGATGAGCTCATTGAGGGAGCCAGGAAGGTCATGGCCCCGGAAGTTTTTGGTTTTGAACCGGGGGCTGTGGGGTTTAATTAGGGTTTTCGGTTTCGGCGATGGTGGCCCGGCTGAAAAAAGTGCGTGGGGGTGTAGACTTAGGCTTTAGGTTTAAGGGTTCTTCTTTGACCCAGGGTTTCTTACACACTACGGCATTGGTGTAGTAGGGCTTACCTTTGAGTTTCGGGTCGAGGCTTTCCTTCATCTTTCTCATAATGCGGTCCTACGTAAGGGGTATGTACCATGCCCAGTGGCTGCATATGTAGTACAATTATGGAAGTGAGTCCCTAAAGCCTTCATAAGGAGAGTCTTGTGGGACCTAATTCCATCATGGTACTTTATATGGAGCCTCTGGGATTATAAGGGGCTTCATACTATGATTTAAGCTACATTCCTTAATTAAGGGGTATTAGGCTCTCTGGGTATGTACCAATGTGGTCATTTTTTTAGGGTGCCAGGGGCTCACAGTGACCGGTTTAGGATTCGAGGCAGAGTGGTTAAGGCTCCCTGATTCCGCTAGGCTAAAGCCAAAACCCTCAGGGGCTAGGCTTGGGCTCAGGGTTTTAGGGTTTTGAGGGTTTTAGGGTTTAGGGTTCAGGGGTTTGGGGCTTTAGGGCTCAGGGGTTTTAGGGTTTAGGGTTCATAGGGTTTTAGGGTCTAGGGTTTAGGGTTTTCGGTGGTTGAACGTCTTTTCCTGAGCTCTGGACCCCGGACGATTGGCCTGAACCGAAGAAATCCTACAGTTCTTCCAGAACAAAGGGCCCTAAACCCAGAACTGCGAGTTCGGAGCTCTCCAAGCATGACGGAATTGTGTGGAGCCTTGCCTTCTTGGTGCGAGTGTGAGAGTCGAAACCCAGAACATGTACCCTGAATCTTGAACCCTACAACCCAACACCCCCGAGCAAAACACAAAACGAGGCAGCTGCACCTGTGGCTAGAGTTACCAGCGCCGGACTCCAAAACATTCCAAAAAACTCTAAAGCCCAATACTAGACGATGCCCAGAAACTTACCGCCACTTTCGAGGCCTTCATTTTCATGTGTGCAGCTGTTGCAGCGCTCAGGATACTGAGTTCCAGAGCCGCCTCCGGGTCATGGATATCGATGAGGCCGGGTGCGGGCTTAAGCTTTCCCTTAGGGCGCTATTTCAGGGTTCCTTTTAGGGTTCCTTAGGGCCCTCTGAAAGGGTACCATAATGGCGTCCCTCAGGGTCGATTTAAGGGTCCGAAGAGGGATCGCGGTCGGCAGGGCTTAGGATGGAATCAGGGCATTGGAATCTCAAATCTCGTTGTAAGTCCATATTGCTTTTGTTTGACATCCTAGAGCCCTTGCCTCGATTTAGGGTTTGGGGGTTAGTGTTGAGGTGTTTGGGGTTTACCGCTTAGGATGATGAGAATCTCACCATGAGGCTGACTTGCAGCAGCTCTTTCAGATGATCGACACCGACGGCCTCACGACAGCACTTGACAGTAGCCTCAAACTCTGTTCTTTGCGGTCGTGTATTAGGTTACATGGATTCAGGATGTTGATCCCCACTTAGGGCCGTCATGACTTTAAGTACGATCAAAGCAGGTGCCGTAAATTAAATGATTCTAGATAGTTTTCCAGTCGGGACTTTCTCAAGCTTCATACCCGATGCTCAAGTCCCACCAAGACAGGCCGAATGTAACCCTACCTGAAGATTCATGGTGCGGTTACAACATGCTATAACCATCCTTATTGGGGCGAGAACTCGCCATGAACATATTCAAAATATCTATAGTACTATAGCCCCCTGAGTCCTCTGATCATTGAACTGAAGATGACGCAATGTACGTATGTTATGCGTGGACTTCACGTTGAATGAGGGATTTGCGTGCCTTGTTCCCATGGTTTGGCCACATGTTGTACAGCCACGAAGCGCTAAAATATATACCGCAGTGGCGATAGCTTTCTGAAGTCGAAAACCCCTTTTGGGGTGCGACCGTCTTGTATTACTTGCGCCAGATTCCGGCACTGTTGAGCGCGACGAGTTCATCGCGCCGCTTAGCCGCTGGGTTCACGAGTCCAAGCGCCACGGCGAGAAGTTGAATTCTTGGGGGATTCACTGGTTTGTGGGTTTACGGGTGTAGGGGCTCACTAACCCTGAACTTGTAGATGCTTATCAACCATCCACCCCTTACTCTGCCTTCTTCGGGTCGTTGCCTCTTTGCTGAGGGTGTTTGAATCTGCGGCAAAGGGGACACAACCCTAAAGGTCTACGGGCTTAAGACTTCTAGCTGGGGGCTGGGTTGTTTGCTGTGCTTGGGGATTTGCAGCGCAGTTTATTGTTTAGGGTTTAGGGTCTATGGTGTTCCAGGATTTCGGTATCTTTCGAGGTTGGGTGAATTTCAGAGGCCCGGACAGGGCTAATTACCTGGAGGTGGGCGGGGGGTTTAGGGTTCAGGGCTCGCAGTTGCGATATCTTCTTCTTCCGTGACTTCGTATCGGGCTCTATAAGCGGGTTCTCTTCAAGAAGGGATGGGTGTGAGATTGAGTTAAACCTGCAACCGGCTTTTGCCAAGTTCATATCTTGGGAGTTAGTATAGAAGCATGTGTTTTACCAGAAACAATCCCAAGGACGCCTTTATTATAAATATAATGTCAATGCTAGTGTGCCTTGGTTCCGCCGTAGGGTTCCGTATGTTTTGAAATACTCGAACATACACCAAAACAAATTCTTAAGGCCCTAGACTCTTAGAGGGCCCTTTGGCCCCACGCCCAAACGAATTCTCACAGCAGGTGCGGGGGTTGTACTTAAAGCCCATGGTTCAAAGCCAAGATTTTCGAGGTTTGGAAGCCCCACAGTTCTAAACTCCAAGGCCCAAGAGAGAGCTCCTATGTTACAAGCATGGGCCCGAATTCGATTCTGCGACGCTTACAATTTTCTCTCAAGGGTTCGGGTTTAGGAGGGGGGCGCACGGGATGTCCATAATCTCAGGGGGGTCTGTGCTGTGGATGTCTTCTGCAGCCCACGTGTGCACATGCAGAGCTTTGATACATCTAAGGTCCCAGATTAAGGCCCCCCCCAACTAGTTGTGACCATAAGGGGTAATGGCCAGTTAGATTTGATCTTCCTATGAACTGCCCATGTTCCGAGTAAACCATAGAAGCTTAAATAGTGGCCAAGATTATTCCTTTAGGGTGTCCTTATGATAAGCATACTATAAAGCAGCCCAAAAACCCGATTCTAATCTAAACCCTAAACCCTAAACCCTCATTATAAGCCCCTGCCTTTTTTAGGACCGCTCCTCGATTCATCAAGTACAACTTGATGCGATCCTTGCACGAGCAAGAGCAGCTTCTCGTCTAAGGTTAGCAGCTCTGGGGCCCCTAAAAAAAAGGACCCTAAAACGGGCCTATTCTAGGGACCCTTATATATGATTTGTTTAAGCAGCTTCTCGATTCAAGTCAGCCCATGTGAGGCAGGTGTTCGACAGCTTCTTGCGGGTTTCAACACAGCCGCACCCTTGCAGTGGCTGGGTTTAGAGTACCCTAAGCCGTAGCCCTAAACCCTAAACCCTAAGCCGTAAACCCAAAAACCTAAACCCTAAAGGGAACTCATTCTAAAGGTCCTGGCCCGGTCTGTGGCTTCCTTGACACGCGGCGCAACGCACGACCCGCTGGGATAGTGCACCTACCACCCGCGCCCCGCGCTGCCCACACTTGGGATATTCCTCGTATGTATGAAAGCCCTTTACGGAGTTCATGGTCTTTGGAGATGTGAGTAGGATCGAGTTTGTTGTCTATTTCTTGGGTGCATCACAGCTGCACGAGGCTGAAGAAGATCACTGAGGTGAGATTCGCAGCTTGTCTTGAACATGAACCATAGCTTTCAGAAAGCCCAAGGGGCCCCATAATCTAGGCACTATGCAGTGGGACCCTTTATGATAAAGACCCCAGCAACTTCAGCAAGGTGCCTGCAGCGTGCAAGCTTCAGAAATCCAATTTTCTAAGAACTTGAAGTTTCTGGTGTCAAAAAACGACCAGACCAGAAGTAGCCAGGGCTCCAAGGCAGGAAGTCTTAAGCGGTGTTGTAAGATTCGCAGCCTGCTTTTGGGGCTAGTAACATCAGAAGTTCTAAGTGCAGCGTCCGCATGCTGGTTCAACCGTCCTTGCTTTGCTGGCCTCATGCTCGCGCGCTGCGCTTCTTCGTGCACTCACTCTATGCCATGCCACTCCGCTCCGCAAAACTCCACTTATCCTCTACAGACTGCTCCTGTCGCGCGGTAGCCAGCTGCATGTCGCGAGTCCTAAACAAGTGGGGCTATAAGTCCTTTGGTCTGGGATATAACTGAAGACATCCTACGTAAAAACCCTACCTATATCTAACCGTGAGTCCGAAAAGTATATACCCAACTCTGAGCTACACCCCGGCTTACGGCTGCCATGCTCGGCTGACGCCTTGTACCCTAGAAGGGGCTTCGAATCGAATGAACCTGGCTAGGAAAGTGCACAGAGGGTTTGTAGGCTCGTAAGGCCTAGGGTGTAGTCAACGTACCGTCTTGCAGCAGGCTTGCACACAGCATGTGCTGTAGCAAATGTCCGTTTCACAGGCAAGAATGACGTCAAAGCAGAAAAGCTAATCTCTTGCCATTCGGGTGCATATTGCCTTTGCGAACATGCTTGGTGGCGCAGGTTGGCCAAGTTCAGAAGAAAGTTGCCCCTTTTTCCAGACAGCATGCGTCCCTCCCCAGTTTCGTTAAAGAGATTCCCTTTGCTTGCAGAGTCTATCTGGCGACCGCATAAGAAGCCATGGCACCGCTTGTCTTCCCATGAGATGTTTCCATGTAGCCTCTGCTTTTTCCGTTGGCTTGGCAGTCAAGCACTTGAACCTCCTCGTAGAATCACGGTCACAGCCCTTCACCTTTTGCCCCGCCGTCGACGATCCGGAAGCTCAGGACCAGATCAACTCGCACATCCAAAGGCCTCTTTTGGAAGCTTCCGGCTTCTTCTTGCTAGTTGGCGTGAGACGTGAAACGTGGCTATTCATAAACTGTCAGCACCTAAGCTGGGCTGGTGAGGGCTGCAGGAAAGCCCAGCTTCTTGCTTTGTTTGGTTGTTGGGGTTTGGTTCTTAGTGGAGGCAAATTCTGCACACTGCAGTGTGGAGCCTTGCTAGCTTGCATGATTACTCGTTGGAATGTCTCTGCAGATCATCAAATCATGATATAACGCCCAAACCGCGTCTTCTATGCCCCTTGGCCAAATCCTAGCGCAAGCCGTATGAAGCGCTACAAAACCCCGGTGAGTAAGTCCTGTCAAATCATTTCAAGGCCGGCAGCCTGGTTCCCCGTTCCCCGGCAGCTTGAAACGACGGGAATGTAGAACAGCAGTAGCTGTAGTATGCGCAGCTGTAGCAGCAGCTGCTGCAGTCGTGTAACTAATATAAAAGAGCTGCAAGAGCTGCAGTCTCATTCTGGTTTCTGGTAAGTTTGTTTCACAGTATAGAGCCGGTAGTAGCCCAAACCCAAGCAAAGCAAACTAAGCCCTAGGCCCTAAGCCATCGGAAACTAACCCTAAACTGACTTCAAAACATCCGAAAACCGTTATCAGATGAGAATCATGCACCTTGGCATCTTAACCCCTACGCCGTAGATCAGAGTTTCTACCCATAGGCCACTAAGTAGTTCCCTTTTGTGGTTTATATTTAGAATCCTATAAGGTAATCCCAAAAAGGGACTACTTGGGGGCCTATGGGTAAGCCCCAACTTCATCCCGAAGCCCTCCACGCCAGGATCGCACTGAGCCTCGGCATCCGCCTGGAGCGCACTTCCTCAAATAGGCCGGTTTAAGGTTTGGGGTCGTGGGTTTCGGGTTACTTGTCGATGTCGGGGCTGTTCGGCGTCCTTTTGCTTTCGTGGTTTTGGCTGTCTCAAATTTTGCAAGGGCCCCTAAAAGGATCCCTTGTCTTTCCTATCTGACAGAGACCAAGATTAGGGCCACCTGAAGCCTGTTGTCCAAAATTTCAAAAGTGAATTCCGTGGCCTGGGCGTCGCCTGACACCCAGGCCTTGATAATTGTAAGTCGCTTGTGCTGTGTGTGTGTGTATGTATGTATGTATGTATGTATGTATGTATGTATGTATGTGTGTGTATGTATGTGTGTATGTATGTATGTACATGTACATGTGTACATGTATGTATGTATGTATGTATGTATGTATACATATATATATATATTAACTATATGCATATTCGTACATGGCAGCACCACGATATGGAAATTACACAGGTGTGTTTTCAGAACTGGATACGACTTGTCTCCGAAATGGTATTTTTATGCGTCCTGTGACCCATGCAGTAGGCGCGACATGCCGTACGCTTCCCTGTGCAGCGTACAATTGATCAGTACTCAGAAGTATTCGGGCCACTACGCACGCAAACACGGTTGCAGTAGTCTGCGGAGCACCTGGGCATGTGCCTGTAACTTTCGTGTTGAACGTGATGGTCGAACCCCCATATGTGAGAAAGACAGGTTGAAATCTCACCCGAAGTAGCCGTGACAGTGATCAACAACCCTGTGAAGTCAAATGGGGGTTTCCGAAAATAGGGGATCCTAATATAGTACCCTAAATAGTAAGATCCTTATTATAAGGACCCCAAAATAAGGTACCCCTAATTTTCGGAAACTCGCAAATTCCCCCTCAGCCACGCAAGCTCAAAGCCCTGGAGCCCGTAACGGTACCTAGTACTACGCGGGTTCGCGCTTATATCCGGGCATTGTGGAGGCCCAAGGAGAACAAGAAGTCGTCCTTGATCCGGGCATCGAAGGACTATGTGAGCCAAGCAGCAGCGTGAGTTGGATCCCGTGTCGTTCTTTCAGCTTTCAAAGGCAACCTTGGGTCAACCAATCCTGAAGCCTAATCCTTAAGAACACTAAACCCTAAACCCTTAAAACCCTAAAGCTTTTCAACCCTGAACTCGAAGGTGGGTTTAGGTGGTTTAGGGTTTAAGGTTGTCTGCCAGGGGAGAACTCTTTCGAAGAACGAGTTTACTTTCCCTCTGTCTGGGCGCAAATGCTCTTAGGGGCCTTAATGATTGGAATAGGGTCTTGAAGCAAAATAATATATTACTACTATAATATGGAGCCCCAAAATAGGTTTTGCCCCTAAATCACCTGAAGCAGATGACGGCAGATACGGCATTGCTCGGCCACTTTGCTTATGTCTCAGACCTCTAAGAGCTTCGGCAACATCTACCGATGTCCATCTCTTCGCAACGGAACAAGCTGTTTCAAGTTCACCTCTAGTTGTACTTCATCTTTGACCCCCCTGTCAACGACAGGTCTTCAAAGGGCCTATAGCCTATAAAGTCACAGCCTGAAGCCGTCCGGCATTGTAACTACCAGGGCTGGAATGCTCCATGCCATAAGCCTCGGTCTAGGGCTTGGGAGCCTTGTAAATTGTAAGTGGCCTGGCGTTTGCATTTGGGGAGCTTTCTTCGTGTGCTGGTTGTCGAGACTTCGTACTTGCCCTGCACTTCCTAGTTTTCGCGTCGAAGCCAGTCATGGTGCATTCGAATGAGACAAGACAGCGGTTCCGTGCGCATGCATATTGGCAGGTGCATTGACGTAACTTTCCTAGAACCCTAATCTAGACCCTAAGCCCTACTCCCACTCCCTAAACCATTAACCCTAAACCCCTAAACCGCTAAACCCTAAACCGTAAGCCCTAATCCCACCACCCAGGCTGTTTCCTGAGTTCCTCAGATCCTACCGAGGGAAAGCCGAAGACCTCTTCATCGGAGGGCTCCTTGCCGGAGATGGGTGCCGAGCTTCTTCGGGTTTAGGGTTTAGGAGGGTTTAGGGTTTAATGGGTGCCGAGCTTCTCTCCCTTCTTCTCTAAAAGAAGAAGCATGTCCTGAAGCCAGGCCCGACCTTTTTTGGGGGATTTCGGGCCCGGAATATTTTAAGAAGTTACCCCATGTGATCTCTTTATATAAACTTCACCGGAAGCCCAACATCAATTGGTTTTTGTCCGGATCTGGGCGCGCAATCCAAAGTAGTCTTCCGCCGGGAAAGTTTGGGCTGTCACCCGATTTATTCGTGCCACCCCTACATTATTAAAGGCTGTTCAGTCAAGGCAAGCCATACCTGAGTGTCCTGAAACACTTTCGAAGGTATCCTGTTTTCGAACAAACCGTATTCAGAAGAAAGGCACCGTCTGGTCGTCCAACCCCCCGCACATTTTTCTTTAATGTTCTCCCAACTTACCTGCTGCCGGAAGCACGTGCCACCACATCGATCGTGCAGCCCACATGTTTTCCAGGAGTTCCACTCATGCTACTGTTGCTTAATCAATGTCAGGAGTATGCCTATGCTTTCGTTCTCTTCCGAAGGCAGTTTTTGCGAAGGCCCAAAAATCACAACACAATCATGCAGAACTTGCCAGTGCTTTTTTGATCACTCCTACTGCTTGTTCCTTCATAGCCAAGCCGCCTTCGTGAGCAGCTAGAAGTGGCGACTAAAATCAAGATTGCCTCCTAAGTCTAAGCAGCCCTATCCGCTTCTTTCACAACATGGCCCCGGTAAGCCATAAACCCAACAGAACCCTCATACTGAAACCCTAAACCCCGCCAAAGGTGATGAGGTACAGACGACGCTCTCCGCACCCGACGACACGGCGTCGCAAGTCTCGGACGCGTTCGACGAAACAGGCTTTCCTCGCATGCATTTCTACTACCCAGCATACGTAGGTTGGGGGTTCAAGGTGCAGCAAGACGAAGGAGAAAACCCCAAATCCAAAATCTGAACCCGTTCAGACCTTGTTTTGGACAGATTCGGCCGGTCCGCACCTCGATGCAGAAAGAGCTGGGGGGGGGCACAGTTTAGCAACACCAAGTTTAGGGTTCAGGGTTGTTACTGGTAGGGTTTAAGATCAGAAGCCCTGAAATACCCTAGGCCCTAGGACTCGAAGCAGCGCACATGGAGACATAGATGTAGAATTAGAGTAGAGTGCTGGGACTTTTCTACTGAGTGCTACCATAGTTGATTATGGCATGACAAAGCTGAGTACATGTCTTCTGGACTTTGAATGAAGCACCTCAGAGGCAAGATCCAGGTGTGTAAACCCTGCGCCCTGTAGCGCTTTCCCAAGACAGACCGTAAGTGACACGGTGGCACGGATCGTCATTATTCTTACTCCGTTCGTTGTTCGCATTCATGATGTTATATTGCTATCATTACTTGGGAAACGAGATTCGTTGCAAGGTGGCTTTTTGGCAGAGTTTATAGGGTTTAGGGTTTAGGCTTGACGAAGCTACAACTCCGACTTCAGTCTTGCTGTTCGGTGTCTTGACGTGTCATTTGGGGCCATTCGGGTGGTTTGAACCACATAGTTGCATTCCGGCCAGCGACTGGGTACTTTTCAATTGCCTTTTCCATTGCACGAACCATCCATTTGATGATTTGTCAGGCGCCCTGACACACACAAACCCCATAAGATCCGATAGCAAGCGCTTTAATTCAGAACGAAATAGATAGCTTAGAAGTACACCCCCCCCCCCCCCCCCCCCACAAGCCCTGATTTTGAGAACCACCCCGAAGATTCCTGAAGGCTGTTTGGGCTTTACTGCGCGGCAGTCGATCCGCAAGGAGCATGGCAAGTATGGGAACGGATTTCTGGAACAGTAGGTGGAAATGGGAGAAGAAAGTGTGCTAAAGACTGTTCCTGTCATTCTACATCCTGTCTGCACCTTGACTCGACAGTAGACTGATAATGCAGTAGAGCCTACCAAGCTCGGGACGGGCTGGAGGCAAGACCGAAACTTCACCCACAGTCCCCACGGTTCAGGATATACAGTTCGCATTGCTCATCATCTCAATTGCTAGGAATAGGAGCGCAGCTTCAGACACGATGGACCTTTACGTTCGCGCTTGCAGCGTGATCGGCCAGTTCGTGCATGGTTGCATGCAGAGTGTTCGGGCAATGCGCGGATGCCTGGAGCTTTGCATCGACTTTTCCCATCCTGCATCTCCATGCCGCACGGCTAAACCCCCGAGCTCCCTAAACCCTAACCCCAGAATCCCGCGTAGACATCCTAAAGCTCAAGCCTCAACCCTAAACCCC